TCCCAGGAACTTGAAGCTGCTCACACGCTCCACAGCCGTCCCCTTAATGTGGATGGGTGGATGTGGGTCAGCATTCCTCCTGTAGTCCACGATGAGCTCCTTGGTCTTCTCGGTGTTAAGCAGCAGGTTTTTTGTGTCGCACCACTCAGCCAGACGATCCACCTGCTCCCTGTAGGCGGCCTCATCATTGTCACTGATTGGCCTCAAACTGTACGTGATCAGACATTTATTAATAACTACCTGTCATACATTTCTTACAGGCCCTTTCCGCTTGATCCTTCACTATTTGTGGTACAGGTAAGTCATTATTATTTTTAAAAGGATTGCTGTCTGCTCCAGGCATGACTTGCTGTTATTTTACCAGTGTAAACAACAAACATGCTGCATAAAGCTGTAACTCCTAGTGCTTAATATTAATCCGATTTTTACAGATACGCATTACATATTTGATAACAATCTCAAACCCCATAGATGAAGTAATGTGATTGTTTTTCTTTGGCTTTGACTATGAAAATCTTGTGTCAGGATGACTTTTAGTAATGTGATGTACATAGTGACAAGAACTTTATTCTGATTTTTTTTCTGTCTTGGTAAAAAATACTTGAGGATTAAATGCGCTAAAAATTAACACGCTTCATTGCTGTTTTTTAAGTGAGGCAATAAGCAGCAGCACTAACAGTGCTACTGAACTGTAAAAGGAATAGTGTCAACTCTTTTACTTTGAGACATTGTAGATCAACAGATGTAACTTGGCAATGCAGATTAAAAAATATCATAATTTTAGTTTTATTATAGGTGAAAAATAAATTATATTAATAATTATTGTGATTTTTAAATAATTAATAATAACATAGTAAAGCTAAATGACGATACAGCTGTTAACATTATATTGACATAAAGTCAAAACATTTCAAACAGAAAGTTCTTGGTATTTGAAATAAGGCCCCTTTCTTGTCTGCTATGTCTTTAAAAAAATATCAAATTTATCAGAATTTGTTACAATGTACATCATGTTTCAAATGAGATGTTCAAAATGTGGACTTTTTGCATACTGTTTTAATCAGTATGTCCCTCTGAAAAAATGCTGCCCATGCATATATGCTATACCGTCTTAAATGTTTAATTATAAAAGGCAATAAAAATGCTTTTTTTTTTTCCTTTTAGGCGTGTATCTTGAATATATATTTATAGTGCTATAGTACATTATATTGCTAACTAAGATGACGGCTTACTGCAACCCATAACACAAGTCAATCATTGGCTTAGGTCAGGGGTGTCAAACATAAGGCCTGGGGTCCAGAATCAGTCTGGGAAAGACTCAAATTTGGCCCACAACTTGGCCAACTAATTTACCCACTGTTGTGAAAAGAGAGCAGCCAAAAGTAGCTTCATATTGACCCACATGTTTTGTAGGTAAATGTTACAGCAGTCTGAAAATATTCTTCTCACACTCTCCCAATATATCGCGCTAACACACGCACGCAACGATTTTTCCTGCGGTAGATTCTGTAATTCTCTAGCACCAAGGCCTGCTTATCCTCTCAGCGGGTGGTTCGCTGGCAACATCAATAACCTTATTAAATATTTAAGAACTCCTCCAGCCATGTTTATGTCCCAGTTCCCCTTCTCTTTCTGTGGATGAGAACGTATTAGCAATTGTGTTGGATAGAATGAGGCTGTTGTCCACATGCTGTGCTATTTGCATTTGTTGAATGGGGGAACGTGTTCAGCCGAAAACACTTTTACACATATTTATATTTGTGTTTAAATATTGTAGAAAACATACGTGCTGTGGCTAATGTTGCTAACTACTGTATTCAAAAACGAGGCTGTACAGACAGGAAAAAAAAATCTATATAAATTATGAATGAACCCCCCCCCAATACCCACCCACAATACAAAATTTTCTTTCCAGTCATTGTACCTGTTTGATTTCATAGTGATCTTTTTGCATTTGTTAAGTCACTTAACGCTGACCTTTGAGTCATTCAAGCATAAAAAGGCTCCTAACTAAAGGGACTAACCGTTGTTGTGTCTATACAAAGGACCAGTTTAAAACTGTAGCATTATCAAGAAAGCTCCTCACTGTGAGTGAAGACAAAGTAAACTGTGGCCAGGACAATTATGAAAATGTTCATAATATATAATTTAAATCACTCTCATCCAGCTGAATATGAACATTTTAAAGACTTTAACAAAGGCAAAGTAGGTAAAGCTAAAGCTGTCCAGAGCTCCAAGCCAACCATAATCCAGCAGCCCCGTTATGAACATAATGGATGCACGTAACTGACATTTGTTTTATTATATACAGTAAATCTGTTGCACCTGCCTTTGTTTTGGTAGAGAAGAAAATTGATCGATGAATATCCTGACAGTTATAGTTCTTGGAAAGGAAATCAAAATCAGCAAACCCAAGTCACTCATCTTGGATTTGAGTTGACTTGATTTTAATAAAATAACATAATGTAGTTACATCCAACAAATTATATAAAACCTATATAAAATCACTTGTAATATAATTTGTATGCACTAGACCTTTTAGGTAAAGTACTCTGTTAATGTACCTACTGATTAATGGTTAACCTGTTATAATTTGTTTTTTCTTCTCGTTTATTTGACCTTGTGTTTCCCAGCCCCTCAAGCTCGTCCCTGCCTCTCGGTCTTGTCCGCCTGGCAAACAAGCAGATCAACTGGCAGCTGGTGCTTGCAAGGTGCAACAAAAACACACACGCTCACTTACAGACATGCTCCGTCTCTGTAATCAATACCTGAATGTGAGCTACTTTGTTGCTGACACACACTAAGTCTTTCTCTCGCTCCCCTTGCCTATCCCCTCAGCCAATCATTTAATTGCACTCATTACAACAGACATACCAAGTAGAAAGGCAGTTTTTAATTGACTATCGATTCCACCATCCGAGACAGTGAGAAGCGTGGTCAAAGATGCTGCAGATGTCCATTAGTTTGATGTGGCTGATTTCTGTCTGCCCCTATATCTTTTCTCTCTCATTTCATTTGCTCTGAAACTCTTTTTGCTACACTTAATGCTTCCGATTATTACTGTTCCTTCTCTCTTTCAGCAGTCCAACCTGGACATTTATTCCCATCTTTATCATTCAAACAC